AAAAAAAGGAATCCTACAACCACTAAAATCTAATGTAGCTCCATGTTTACATTTTTTGAAAAAGGATGTTGCACTCGATGGCTGAATCTCAATTCAGGGGTTGCAGCTGATTTGATCACGTTGCGTTTTGTAAATTAAGTTCAATAAAGACATTGCCACAAAATGTAAACGAAGTGGTCATTCAGAAACTATTGGAAAAAAACAACTGAAACAATTTAAGAACTGTTTACAATGAATTTTATTATTTTGTAAAAAAAATATAAAATGATTTAAACAGAACAAAAACAAATGACTGTTTAAAACACTATTTAATTATATACAATGCTGAGGAGAGAGTCCCTGACAGTGCTGATAAAATGATGGGCTGATTCCAAAGAAGACCTGGTTCCCCTCTTCAGCATGTTGACCTGCCATCGGTCCACTGTCCACCGCTTTGTCCACGAGCCGGGCTGGCTGTCTCGACGGCAGTACTGTGATCTGATCTGTAAAGAAGGAAGGAAGAAAGGAAGGAATGAATAAATAAATAAATAAATAAATAAATAAATAAATAAATACAAATTCAAAACATTGGAACATACAGACTTTAAGAAAAAAAACACACACACATATATATAATGTATGTGTGTGTGTATATATTATATTATACATATATTATTATATTATACATATATGTACTGAATATGTTAAATTATTCTATTCAAAATTATATATATATATATATATATATACACACATCCTGTGTATATATAAAATTTAGAATAGAATAATTTTGTGACTGTAAAACATCTTGGTTCAGTGTCACAAAATTATTCTTTAAATGTAACTACTACTGTATTTAAACCGCACTAAAACGAGTATACTGAATTAAATTTGAAAACAATTTTCTGAAACTTTAATTGATAGCAAATGCGTTTTAAATTTCAAGGCTTTTTTTGAAATAAGTTAATACACTAAACATAAAAACGGACATCAATGCTTTAATATTCTTTAATCTTATTGATGAATTAAGCCTAAAAACAGTTCTAACCTTGTTGCAGTCTTCTGTCAGCCTAAAGTAAAAAGGGTGTTGAGTGAAAACACTCATCTCCTCATTATTGCCAAAATAATAAAACTACGAGCTCCATTTCTGGCACATTTTTCTCCGCTTTTTCGGAAACGTAACACGTACTTCACGTATCAACGTGTCACTATGGTAACGGCGCAGCACGTGGCCAAGGTAAACATACGTCATCCGTAGGCTAGACCGTGCAAATTCACAGCCCTTTTATGCAGCCGACAGGACCTGCCTACGGACCACGTCGACGGCTATCTGCCGTCGACCGGTCCACGTCACCTGCGATCCCTGAATTGAGATACAGCCAGTGTCTTCTGAGGTTTTTGTGTTGATTCCTTCAGTGGTTCTTGGTGCAGCGCCACCACAGGTGAGGGGGGGAACAGGTTGTTCAGTGTTCAAGTTCAAGAATAGGCTGAATGGCACTCCTCTTTAATACGAAGGGCGTAACATCTAGGGCTGTGTATTGGCAAGAATTTGGCGATACAATTCATATCATAACAGAGGGGTCACGATACGATATATCCCGATATATTGCGATACTGTAAGCAAGGCAACATATTGCAATATATTGCGATTTTTTTGTCCAAAAAATCTATTAAATAAAAACCTCTTACTGAACAAAAAAAGAAAAGCTAATGTTTACTTACAATGCTAATGCTACCCTTACTCTCTGGCGCTCAAGAGGTAGAGGAGCCAAATGGCTGGCTCACTGCTGTTAACTAGTGGTCAGAGGCTGAACTACAACATAAAAATGAACGGTTGGCAAGAAGGTTGACATTTTAAACCTTAATTAAAAATCGATACAGGCCTTTAGAATATCGATACAGTATCGGGAAATGAAATATCGTGATATTTCAGTGTATCGATATTTTCTTACACCCCTAGTAACATCTGTGGTTTCTAGAAAGAATTTTAAATGTTGATTTGTCACAGAACAGTTTTCCATTTTGACTCACTTTATATTAAATGAGCATTGGTCCAAAGAAGACAGCACTGTTTCTTAATGGTCTTCACATATGGCTTGTTTTTGCATGATAGAGCTTTAAACAGCATTTGTGGATGGTATGGCGAACTGTGTTTACAGATGGTGATTTGTGTGAGTGTTCCTCATTTCTTGGACTGCTGTTCATAGAATGAGACCTGTGGCAGGTGTTTTTCATTTTTTTAAGGAACACTAAAGCTTTTTTTTGCCATGTGTTGTCAAAAAAGCTCTGTCAGACAAGTATTAAAACAATTTTTCCCATTTTGTCTTTCAGAGTATTTTCTTTTGCGCCATGTCGATGAAAGCTAACATGGCTTTCCTCTAAACAGTACAGGAAGTCACAAAGTCCACCTATGGATGAGGAGTAATTCTGTTTCCAGTGTTGGGGAAAACTGAACTGTGGTCAGAGCAGCAGAAACATTGCAGAACATTATATCTTACAGTCTTCCTTGTGAATTCCACCACTTCACCCACACCTTCAGCATGAGCGGCCTGCTAGGGAAACTGGACCCTCGCAGGATACAGCTGGGCTCAACATGGAACACCTTCACATCCCGTGTCCTGAGGACCAAACCCGTGGAGTCGATGTTGGATTCAGCCATGACGGGCACCAGCTCGCACGGGACCAGACTGGCCCGGGTCTTATCCACAGTGGACCTGGTGTCGCTAGGGGTTGGCAGCTGCGTCGGGACGGGGATGTATGTGGTCTCGGGGCTGGTTGCCAAGGAGATGGCTGGACCTGGGGTGATTGTGTCTTTTATTATCGCTGCTGTGGCGTCCATACTGTCAGGTGAGAGCTGAGTTATACACACTTATAGTGACTCAGGTGTAAAGAGATCTTTTAGTATCTCTTAGCAGTTGAACTTCAATGGATGCAATTGTTCTGATTATCATCAAACCGTGATAATTCATGAGGAACCTTTTAATCAGCAGGCAGTTATTAAAAGAGCATGATCATCACTTGAGCAGAGCTATCTTTTATATAATGCCCTCAGGTGATATCTTCATAAACCACAATGCTCCAATCACTTCCTTTAACCCACCTTTCAAACATGTAATAATAATAATAGATATGTGTGTTTCCTTGTCCTAAAGGAGTGTGTTACGCAGAGTTTGGAGTACGTGTGCCAAAGACCACAGGTTCAGCCTACACATACAGCTATGTGACGGTGGGGGAGTGCGTGGCCTTCTTCATAGGCTGGAACCTGATTCTGGAGTATCTGATTGGCACAGCAGCAGGGGCGTCAGCTCTCAGCAGCATGGCAGACTCTCTGGCCAATCACACCATCAGCAACTTCATGATTTCACGCATCGGAACGCTCAACGGCCTGGGTAAGAGCCCACTGCAGCTTCACTCATAAACACTTTTGTTTGGCTTTTATTACCACCTGTAAGGTGAATGATTGTTTAAAATTGTATTTGTGTGTGTTTGTTAGCAAAATATTTCAACCACTAGATAGTGTCCTGATGCATCTCAGTAATCCAGGTAAAAAATCAAAAAGAAAAAAATTGTATAGGTCCTCTGGACGGGTTCTTCTCTAATGAAACATTTCGTCTCTCCTCCAAGAGACTTCTGACCGGCCATCATTAAACAGAGGTGGAGGCCTCCGTTTTCAGTTGTCCCCCTCCTACAGCGCTGCTATTGCCAGTATCACTCCACCCCCTGTTAACAATAAGTGTTAATTAGGTGTCAACGATAGCCATGTGATGTGAGTATCAGTCACCTGGAGGCAGGGCTTAAAAGCCTGAATTTTGCCTGAAACTCTCAGACTGAAGAAGTCTCTTGGAGGAGAGACGAAACGTTTCATTAGAGAAGAACCAGTCCAGAAGACCTATACAGTTTTTTTCTTTTTAACCACTAGATAGATTTTATTGGAACTTTATGGAAATAATGTTTGTCATGAAAGGCAGCAGTTGTTTTTTCAAGACCTGCTAGTCCTCAAATTTTTGCTGATTCAGATTTATAGTATAAGAAACAAAGAAATAAGTAGAAAATAGAGGTCATCATCATCATCATCATCATCATCATCATCATCATCAATTTATAAAGCACAATAAAAACCAAAGTGCTGTACAGGAGCATTAGATAAAAACAATGAACAAAGTACAGTAATAAAATGAACAATAAAATCAAACAAAATAGCAAAGGCTGGCCTAACGATCCTGCTCTTCAGACTCAAATGCCTGTTTAAACAGATGAGTTTTCAACAGAGACTTAAACTCATTTAGAGACCCAGCAGACCTCACAGACAGTGGGAGGTTGTTCCAGAGCCGAGGTCCTGCAACTGAAAAGGCTCTGTCTCCCCTGGTCACAAGCCGAGACCTGGGAACAATTAAAAGCTTTTGTTTTACAGATCTCAGGGATCTATTTGGAATGTGAGGCTGTAAAAGCTCAGTGAGATAATGAGGTGCCAAACCATTTAGACATTTAAAAACTAAAAACAAAATCTTAAAAACAATTCTAAAAGAAACAGGCAACCAGTGAAGAGAATACAAAATYRGAGTGATGTGTTCGCGACGTCTTGTCCCTGTTAATAAATGGGCAGCTGAGTTCTGAACCAGCTGTAGACGAACGAACCAAAGACTGATCCATCCCACAATAAAGAGAGTTGCAGTAGTCCATTCTAGAAGTGATAAAAGCATGAATAACCCTCTCAAGTGCATTATGAGGCAGGTAATCCTTGACTTTACTTATGAGTCTCAAATGATAAAAGCTAGACTGGACTACTGCACTGACCTGTTCTTTAAATTTAAAATCAGAAGCCAAAAACACCCCAAGAGGCCAGGGCCTTTCCTGAACATGTCTGGAGGTATATCACTTGAGCCAACGTACCCAAAGTATCTTGGTCCATTTAAAAAAATTACAGCCCATCTCTTAGCAGCTACTGTCATTAGTGACTGAGTCACCGTCAGGAAGGGTTTTCTGTAAGAGCATAAACAGACGTTCAACCAGGTGACCTTCTGAAAGATCACATCTCTGTTTTTAGCTCATTATGTCACTCACTTTCATCAAAAAGGTCAGAGCAAATTATCCAGGGTGGAAAGAAAACAGTCACTTTAAAAAGCTGATTGAATAAACTGTCTGAGCTCCAAACAAAAAATGTTTTTCTTAAAAACATGGGCCTGATTTTCTTGAATCTTTAAACTCTTAAGAAAAATATTGATGGTAAAATATGAACACTATCTGGGAAACCAACCAAACCATATTAGACATTTTTTGGCACTAATGGTTATGTTGGAAGTCATGACATACTGGAAAACAACAGCAGCAGTGCCAGCTTGAATTTTGCAACAGTTATTTTAGGTCAGAGCCAAGTAGAAGATGATTGTCTGCATGGTGGTGCACTGATGCTGCGTATGCCAGCAGTATTTCTGTCTGGGTGGCACTGATTTGTTCAGTTCTTTTGATCTGGGATAACAGATCCTGGATCAGCAAACCAGAACCAAGCACCCCTAACCTCTGCAGATCTTCGGCTAATCCAGTCCCTAACAAAGGAATGACCACAGGGCAGGTCGCTACTGGAAAATTGATGTTTCCGTTTCCAGCTGTTGAATTTTTCCTCCACACCTCAGGGAAAGGTGGAACCTAGCTGAAAATAGATCTTATTTTTTATTTCAAACATACAAAGTCCTTTCAAACATTGTGAAGTGAAATGTTTAATCATTAAGTGTACCTATTACTATCCTGTTAAATTGTTTTGTGTTGTCTTGTTACACCGCTTTAACAAAATATGCAAATTATACACCAAAATGTGTTCCTTAAACTAAAATAACTGCATTATAAGTTTTGATAGTGGTATGTTGCGCAACAGACACAATTCACAAAAAATTGCAAAAAAGAAAACTGAAGATCAGTGATTTTGGCAAAACTTGAGAAACCCAGTCCTTATGGTGCTCCACAGCTCTGACAGGCTTCACAGCAGAAAATTCACTCCATGTATAAACAAATCACAGAAACTTGGACTTTACATGTCTGAACTGGCATTTTGATACCCTTTTATAGTATTTTTTATTTATTTATTTTACATTGTAGTTTAACTTTTACATTGGACTCTATCTTTATCCTTGCAGAGTTGCTAAGAGGGTCATGAGAGTTTGCCTCTCCAGTCTACATCAGTTTCGTGGACCTGGATAAGGTTTATGACCATGTTTCTCGGGGCATTAGAGTGGTACTGCAGGGTTATGTAGTGTTTGGGTTGCTATTAAGGGTTATCCAGGTCTTGTATGATGAAAGCAGGAGCAGTGTCCGCATTCTTGGCACAGGGTTCAACTTGTTTTCAGTGTGGGCTAGACTTCGCCAGGGCTATCCCTTGTCTCCAATCCTGTTTGTAGTAGACAGGATCTCAAGGGGCAGTTGTGGATAGATTGGTGTCTGGTTTGTGGAAAAACAGGGTCACATCTCTTCTTTATGCAGATGATGTGTCTCTGGACTTTCAGCGTGCACTGGTGCTGTTCGCAGCTGAGTGTGAAGCGGAGAGTCAGTTCCTCTAAGTCTGAGGCAATGGTACTCAACTGGAAAGGGGTAGAAAGCCCCCTCTATGACAGAGGGAGCGTCTCTGTCTCAAGTAGAGTTTAATTATCTGGGTACCTTGTTCCTGAGTGATGTGAGGAAGGAGCAGATGTTGGATCGACGAATTGGGCCTAGTTCTCAGTAATGAGGGCGTTGCTTTGGTCAGTTGTGGTAAAGAAAGAGCTGAGTCGAAAGGCAAAGCTCTTGATTTACTAGTCTTATGTTCCAACCCTCACCTAGGGTCATGAGGTGTGGATCATAACCAAAAGACCAAAAGAACGAGATCCTGAATATAAGTGGCTGAAATGAGCTTCATTCGTAGGGAGGTCAGGGTTTAGTCTCTAGAGAGAGGGTGAGTACCTCATCATACGGGGGGAGCTTGAAATAGAGCCGCTGCCCCTCCACATCAAAAGGAGTTGGTTGAGGTGGTTTGGCAATCTGATTAGGATGCCTCCCTTTAGAGGTGTTCTGGGTACATTTCACTGACAGGAGGCCCCATGGAAGACCCAGGACACACTGGAAGAATTAAATATCCTCTCTGGCCTGGGAACAATTTGGGGTCCCCCAAAACAAGCTGGAAAGTGTGTGTGTGTGTGTGTGTGTGGGTGTGTGTGTGTGTGTGTGTTGGGGGGGTCTTGCTTTCCCTTCTAGACCTGTTGCCTCTATGACCCATCCGTTGTTTAGTGGTTGAAGATGGAGAACTTTTATCTTTCCTACAGATGTTTACAAAATGTTGAGAACTGATGTCAAACTTTAACTGTTAACTGTCTAAAATTTTAAACTCTTTGGCAACCTATTTTTAATCCTACGATTCTTTTTGTGGCATTTACAAATTATACATCAAGACATAGGTCTTTTGTACTCTTTCACCATATCTCTCACTGCTGCAAGTCTTCCGGTTCTCAAACCCCACCCAGAGGAATTTATGTGTTTTTGTGTGTCTTTTCTAGGTAAAGGAGAACAGGCCTACCCAGACCTGCTGGCGCTGCTAATAGCACTGTTGGTGACGGTGATCGTGGCTTTAGGAGTGAAGAACTCTGTGGGCTTCAACAACGCGCTGAACATCATCAACCTCATTGTATGGGTGTTCATGATGATCGCTGGACTGTTCTTTGTCAACGGAGAGAACTGGGACGAAGGAAGGTTCCTGCCTTTTGGGTGGTCAGGGGTATGAGTGAAGACATGAATTAAAATGAGTCATCAAACACATTTAAAGCCATCTGGTTGTGTTCTTTATTCTCTTGCCTCTGGTGTGTTGCAGGTGATGCAGGGTGCTGCCACGTGTTTCTATGCCTTCATTGGATTTGACATCATTGCCACAACAGGAGAGGAGGCCAAGAGTCCCAACACCTCCATTCCCTATGCTATCACTGCCTCACTCATCACCTGTCTCACTGCCTATGTCTCTGTGAGTTACATCACTTGCAGACTTTTCGTGCCATTGCTTATTTCTTCCCTGTTTATGAGCATTTTTTAGGTTGTGTTACTGAAAATTCCATGCAGTAACTGCACACATTTCTCACTGTTTGAATCATCTTTTAGAAATTTTAGGATTATAATTTGTTCTGAATTTCCACTATATGCCTTTGTAGTCTTTTGAACAATTGTCTATTTTAAAAGTCGTGCAATGTTTATCAATAGAGTGAATCTAAATTGATTCATTTGTAATGTTGGTCATGTGTTCACACTGCCAATTGATTATTTTGGTCTGTGTTTGCTGTGTAAGCAAAATGATCTCATGAACATATACCATATACCAAAATTTGTCTGGCCCACTTCTGGCTCATACAATGGACTCAGCCTAGATACCCCAAGGAATGATGGCCCTTTGGTGGCCAAGTTTGGCAGAGGTGGTCTAAAGGTTGGGCCAGATCCACCTAAACCAAACCACAACTGGGCCAGTTGTGGCAATCTATTTTTAAAAACAGTGTCATAATTACCAGACCTGACCATGTCTGGTTCACAAACCACTTTTCCATGCCAGCAGTCAGCCAGCTTGACACCAGATCTTGCCCACACCATTCTGCTATGTGGGAACAAACTGATTGTAATTGATCTTTCCAAAAATGAATCATAGGATATACATCTACAACTTATAAATGTTTGACATTAACCCAATTTAAAATGGCCACTCTTGCTAATTATTGTTGGCCAGTACTAAAATGGCTGTAACTCAGTCACTTTTACAAAAATGAAGCTACAGTTATGTGTGCACATTCTGCACAAACTTTTTTCTTAAAACTTTAACATTAACTGTTGAAGTTACATCCTGTTTTTCTAAACCAGTGGAACAGATTTTAATGACATGTTAACATGTGAAGTCAACCTGTTTTAAGATGGCCAACAAATACAGTATATTGACCTAAAATTGAGAGTTTTCGTTGTGTAACTTTTTTTCTTAAAATGTTGACATTACCTGTTACACTCTGTCTGTTAGCAAAATCTCTCATGAACCAATGAATGAATCTTAGTGAAACTCTCTGAAAGTAATCACTGCGCAAACATGTACAAGTGAGTACCTTTTTGGAGTCGACTCTATTTAAGATGATTGTCACAGACATTCTTTGCAAACACAAGAATGGCTAAAACACAAGCAGTTTTACAAATATTGGTCTAAAATTTATTGTGGTGATAGCTGAGTCATTCACAACACATAATCTTGAGAGTATTTGTTTGTGAAAGATCTTGTAATATTGTGTGAGAACCTAAAGTTGCTTTCAAGGTTAGACCAAAATGGCTGTTATGTTGTCATTTCCTAATTCAAAACTCTTTATTTGGACTAAATCATAAAAACAAACTATAATTTTGCCTAAAATGTACGTACAGGACCCTCTCTCCTGCCCTCCAACTGTGGAGGTGTGTTATTTATTTATGATCTTGATTATGCATTCAGCTCACACAGAGTGCCTCGTGTGCACTGAGTGGTTGTTGCTGTGGGTGCTGTGTATCAGCAGCCAATCAAAACTCAGGAATTTTAAAGCATCACCTAAGGCAGAGATTGCATCAACTTAAAATCTTCACCCCCAGTCTCATCAGTCCTTCCTCGACACACGTCTCCACAACTTTCTTAGTCTTATTTTTTATCTTCCATCTGTTTTAGATCTATTGGACAGCATCATCCTGCTTCCACCAGGATCTTTAGCTACTGTAACTCATTCCATTATTTATTATATGTCCTTTTTTCCTTGTGACGCTGCTGCCATTCCGTGAATAAAAAACCGCAAAACAAACTTTGACTTCTTTCAATACTCTCACTGACTAATATACTGTATTTTTCACTTGAAATTTGACTTAATTTGTCACTCTGAGCAACAATATTCCCATTATTGACATTTTATTAACTTGTATTTTAATGACATCCCTCTTCTTTCCTGTTACTAGGCTTTGTTTTTTTTAAATTTTTTTATTTTATTTTATGTTTTTATAACATTTTATACTTTCTCAGTCAATCCAAACACAATATCAGCAAATCTCTTGGCTGCAACTGCTGGATTGTGCAGCCATGTTTTGTGTCACCTTATTTAAAAATCACAGTTTATCATCATGCGCACAGCTTGCAAAATTATTCTATTCTGTCCACATTTATTCATTGTCCACCGCCATCCACATTGTACCCACCTTGGCAGCTGCCCCGACATTTAGGATTTAATCTAATGGATAATACTTTTAAAATAAAGCTTAGAATATTTGGATCACTTTTTAAAAGCAGTTCTGTTGAAATCAGGCATTTAAGCTCCGAAACTCAATGAGCTTGCCAAAAAACACAAACAGGGTAGATTTTGTGACCATGTACTATTT